TGGAGATCCGTTATTTAGTTCACAAAATTTATACACTGTTTTTGTTTCCTTAAAAAACAGCAACCTCAAAGCAGTTACAGAAAGATAAAACAAGAAAATCAGGCAGACATACAGAAAGTTAAAATGCTAAAATAGATTCCCATTCATACCAGCATTTCTAAACAGCCGGGCAGGCTTGCCTAGACAAGGCGGCTTTTTAGCAGGTGCCCAAAAGAGGGCAGCAAAGGCACCTGCTTGATCTCAAGTGGCGGGGAGTTCTACAGCGCAGGTGCTGCCACACCAATAGATCAGATCTTGCAAATGCCGAACAGGGATTATGCAGCACCTGGAACAGTGCCGATTCCATCGCTGGAGGCGGCCAAGTGGATGCAGGTGAGCTTTGGCACTTTTGCGGGTGAGCCGGTCTCTCTGAACCAGGGGTTGGCAAGGTTTACCTCGCCTGGGCCGGTTCACTCCAGCAGAGATCCCTCTGTGGGGTGGATTGTGCGTGTGCGTGAGCATGCATACCCGCAATTTCCAGCCCGCGATTTCTGTGTCTGCGCAGACACTATTTCCGGTGCCGTAGAAGCAAGTCCCCGTGCCATGCTGTGCCGATTTAGCGCAGCGTGGGGGGACTCGCCGAGCAGGCCGCTCAGTTTGGGGGTGGCTTGTGGGCCGGTTAAACGACCCCTGTGGGCCGCTTGTGGGCCTTAGGCTGCCTACCCCTGCTCTGAAGTTCTGAGCCCCCTTCAAGGTAGCAGGAGCCCAGAGCAGAGCAGCAGCCTGGTGGGCAGAGAGATGGGCTGGAAGGAAGCTCCTTCCAAGCCCCGGGGAGCCTTTCAGCACTTACCAAAGTCGGTTACTTGGACTCAGTTTCATACCAGAGGCCTTTAGTAGGTATAACTGCTGTTCTAGGACCAGATAGTTCATAGAATCATAGAATTGCAGAGCTGAAAGAGATCCCAAGAGTAATCTAGTCCAACTCAGTGCAGTGCAGGAATCAGTTTGCCAGACTTGTGTCCAGATTTCCATCCCAACTCATCTGATGGTTGAAACTGAAAGAATAAATGTATTTGGCTGTTTTGAACAGCTGATAAAAATGCCATGCCACCCTGTTCAGCTGGGATGCCCAGCTGAATCACAGGGTGGCATAGGGAACATGGTCAGACACTGAACAGATCAAGAGCATCAACTGCCTGGAGTTGAGAGAAATTATATCTAGTGCTGTGGGAATTCAGCGGAGGTATAACAGACTTGTTGGTCATGAGGGAAAGCCTTTTCTGTGGTGGCTCTATGGCTCTGGAATTCATTGCTAGTTGACTGCCAGAAAGCTACCATGCTCCAATCCTTTAGAAAGACTCAAAAGTCCCTTGAGGAAGAGGGAAACATTCCCTTAGGGAGGTTCCCTATACGTGGCCTTTATAGATTTCAAATCTGCTTTTGATTTAATACCGAGGGACAGGCTTTGGGGAAAGCTAAGCGCCACAAATATAAACAAACGCCTACTGTATCTCATCCACAGTCTATATGAAAATACACAGATCCGGGTAAGGTGTGACCGACAGGGCCACCTATCCAAGGAAATCCAAATCCATCAGGGGGGTCAGGCAAGGGTGTGTCCTTGCGCCTACTTTATTTAACTTCTATATCAACTCGCTAGTAGGAAATATGGAGAAAGAAAATGCCCATCCCCCCAAATTGGCTGGTACGCCCCTCCCGGTCCTTTTATATGCGGATGACACAGTTTTAATTTCTTTTTATTGTGTTGGATTAAGAAAACTTTTGAGATCTTTCACCAAATACTGCAGCATTGAACAATTAACAATTAACTACAACAAATCCAAAGTCATGGTGTTCTCTAAAAAAAGGAGGAGGCACAAATGGAGAATAGACAATCGTTTAATAGAACAGGTAGCAACCTTTAAATACCTGGGTGTAACCTTCCAGGAAAGGGGCTCCTGGCGCTTTCAGATTAATAATACTATTGCAAATGCAGAAAGATCTACTAAAGCGTTAATAAGATTCTTCTATGGGAAAGGGGGCCAATACATACCGGCAGCCTCCCAGGTCTTTGCTGCCAAAATACTATCACAATTGCTATATGGATCCCAGATCTGCAGCTTTAAAAACCTTACTCTCTTAGAGGCATTTCAAACTAAGTTTTTCCGCTGCCTGCTGGGGATCCCTCTTGCGTATCCAACATAGCGGTCCGTTTGGAGGTTGGGCAAATTCCTATCAGTACTCGGATATGGATATTGAAGATCCATTATTGGCTAAAGCTTATTTTCCTCCCGGTTGGGCTGGCACCTTTAACCTTATTAGATACCTACCAATCCAAATGGAAAGCTACACTGCTGGAAAAGCTTAAAGGCTTGGGGATCCCACAGCAGACCCTGATAGCGACAGGCTTCAAGAAAGCTAGGACTACAATTCGCCAGCGTATCTGGGACGTAGAATTACAATGCCACATGAGCGAAATGATCAAACATCCAGCAATAAGGGACCATGGGAGAGGTTTCTCTCCAGCTAACTATCTGTCAGGTCTTCAGGTACCCAAATACAGACGGTCTTTTACCCTCGCCAGATTCAACGTTCTCCCTTCTGCCTTACTTCAGGGCAGATTTGAGGGTAAACCATACACAGCACGGGTCTGCCCTTGTGGCTCGTTGGAAGTTGAAACTGCTTCACATGTACTATTACGTTGTCGTCTTTATGAGGATATACATTTGACTTTTATTACACCTGTTTTGCAAAAGTCCAGGAAAGAATCGGAACACCATAGTTTAAAATTACTGTTAGAGGACAAGAATCCCAAGACTACATTAAATGTAGCCAAATTCTGTGCGTCTGCAATTAATCGCAGGAAGCAAGTGGTATCCCATAATGACCAAACCCCCAAATGTTAATTACAGGGGGCACGCTAATAATTAATTTTAATTTTTTATATTTAAATCCTTGTTATACTCATATTGTCCTCTGTATTTCTGATATTTTTTTTTATGATCTGTGATATTGTGTGTGTTGACACTGGTCTGTGACTGTATTAATAAATTCATTCATACCATGCTCCAATCCTTTAGAAAGACTCAAAAGTCCCTTGAGGAAGAGGGAAACATTCCCTTAGAAAGGACCCATTCCTTGGGGAATGATAATGTATCCTCTCTGGCTGAGGATACCTCTCCGGTTGGTGGAGAGATCGTGGTAGTGAGCAATTCAATCTCTAGGAATATAGATAGTTGAGTGGTCAGTGCGCATACAGACCACAGGGTTAATTGTCTGGAACAATTATTGTGGATATTGCTCGTGGCCTAGTGTTGGGAAACTGTGCGTGCAGCTACTCACACAGAGTCAATTAAGGTTTGGCAGACAGCCAGAAGGCAATCTGAAGGAGTAAGTCTGCCTCGTGATAACAAAGGCATGGAGACAGCTCCCTGATTGGTCAAGCTCTCTCAAAGGAGTGATAATTAATGGCCCACTAACTGGAATGTGTTAGTTCAGAGGTTCAGAGTTGTTCTGTGTCAGTGTAGGAGTTGTGAGTCGTGTCAGAGAGAGCTAGCAAAAGATCCGTGTTCTGTTCCTGTAAATAGTTCACTGTATATAATAAACACCTAACTACAAGTTCCTGATTCCTGCTTCGTCTATCCTGTCTGCAGCCAAGTCGCCAATTGCTTCCATGGATTCTGCGTTAACTCTGCTAGGTCTGGCTAAGGTCCTGCAACTAGTCAGAAAGTTGCGAAACACCAATAGGTTTCGGCAATAGGTTATGGACACGAGCAGATTGGTTGCAGCAAGTTCGGAAGCAGTGGACGCCTGGGTCAACAGTCTCCCAGATTCCTAGCATAGGAGTTGGCAAGGACTGGCCGGAGGTGATCAGTGGTAGCTGTGTCGTGTGTGTGTCGACGCCAGAAGCTGACCCGGCAAGACCTGCATATCCTGGGTGTTTGGACGTTTGGAGCTACTAAGGACAGACACCAGCTGTAGTGTTTGGAAGCTGGATGTTGCGGATCGCTCTCTGGAGTTGTAAGCTGTGAGCTGCTGGTTCCTGTTTGTTGTGGAACACTGCTCAGAAGCAATGGCTTTTCCGTTTGCGTTGCCATTTGAACAGCTCAACAACCACAACTATTTGCTATGGTCTCAACGCATGCAGGCTACGTTGCAGAGAGAGTTTCTCCGGGTGTCAGTGGACAAACTGCCTTGGAAGCCTGATGCTGAAGACAAAGATAAAGACCAAAGAGCAAAAGCCACGATAATCCTGGGACTGGATGATTTGCAGCTGCCACACGTGCATGGGCTCGATTCTGCGTGAGATGTGTGGTTGGCGCTGAGAAATCTCCACATTCGGGAGACGGCTAGTTCGAAGCTGTCTATTCGGAAGGCTCTGTACAAGTCTGAGCTAAAACCAGGAGTTACAATGCAAGACCATCTCCATGATTTGCAGCTGAAGTTTGTGGCACTTCAGGAGAGAGGCTGTAATCTTCCTGAGGAGGAAAAGATCTGCATTATCCTAAGTTCTTTGCCTGATAGCTGGGACAATCTCATTCTCACACTGCAAGCTATGCGTGAAGAAGATCTGACTCTGGATTATGTTACTGGCAGGCTGCTGGAAGAATGGCAGAGGCATGAGGGCTGTTCGGATTTCAGCCCCCACCAGTTGCCATGCTGGCAGGAAACAGCAGGTGCTGTTTACATCTTGTGAAGTCTCACAGCATGAGACAGGAAGTCAGCTTCTGTTCTCAGCCGATTCACTGTGTACTGGGAGGAGTTTTCTCAGCCTCTTCTGCTCTTGAGACAGAGCAGGGTTGTGTCGTGAAACCCAGAGCTTGGCTGCTCAGACATGCAGCCCTTTGTGTTGTTATTGTTTTGCAGTAAATAAATGTAGTAATGAAACTACAAGACTGCCTTTTCCCTCTTGTCGCTGTGCAAGGGAAACTGGTATGCTTCCTCATAAGAGAGAGGCTGCCTATCTTGGCCGATCGCCCTGGTCTGAGAGGAGGAGGAAGATTCCTGAACGGCAGCCAGGGATGATCATCGAAGCTTCACCTTTGATGGATGTTCGGGAGGCTGGCTGGAGGCTGGCACAGCTCCCGGGCTGGCGACGTTTCAACAGCGGCAAGGAGTTGTCGGCTTCAAGTGCTTCGTCAAGCAATCGGCTTGTGAGGAATGTAGGCAGCATTTCTGAAGAGAAGCAGCCAAAACAACGTGCCCGAGCTACTGCTGGCGAAGAGGCTGCGTTTGCTGTTTGTTGTTGTTACCGGTGCGGTTCTACTCGGCATCTGAGGAAGCAGTGTCCGGAGGAGGTCGTGCCTGAGAGTCCAAAACAGCGCAAGCAGCAGAAGAAGTTTGCAAAGAAGAAGCAGACGGCACAACTTGTGATGACCGTGGTCAAGTGTTCTGATGAGCGGCGAAACACCTGGATTATCGATTCAGGGAGTTCCCGCCATATTGTTGTTTCAGAGGTGTTTTTTGCCAAGAAGGTTGCTACACCATGGAGCCAGGTGGCGTTGGCTGGCGGGAGGAAATCTGACATGGAGTCCGGTGGCTCTGTGCTTGTCTCCTGTCTATGCACGTTTTGTGTGTTCCTTTGCTGAGGAGCAATCTCATGTCCATTTCCGGTCTACTGAAAGCTGGGTTTGTAGTGCTGTTTCGGGACAGTTACTGTGAGATCCAGAAAGGTGGAGAGACATTGGGGAGGGCTCTGGCAGAAAATGGGTTGTTTGTGTTAAAAGACTGTGTTCAAGAGTCTGTACTAGCTAGCAATGACACACAACCTGTATGTAAAAATGAAGGTTTTCATAAAAAATGTTTGCATCTATGGCACAGGAGATTAGGTAATGCCCATTGGCAGAGTGTAACCAAAATGCCACAATTGAGTGATGGGTGTGTGTTACAGGGTTGTGACAAATTCCTTGATTGTAATGTGTGTAAAAAAGTTAAGAGTCACCGTGGGTCTTATCCCAGAAGTGAAAGGGTGAGTGAAAGACCGGTTCCGCTTGTGCATGCTGACGTGGTGGGTCCTTTTGCACTCAGCAGGGGTAATTCACGATATGCGCTAACGATCATAGATGACGCCACAAGGTTTTGTTGGGTCTACTCCATGAAGCACAAAGGTGAAGTGTTTACCAAGTACAAAAGCTGGGTGAACTATGTTGAAAGGCAATTTTCTTTCAAAGTTGCAGAGTGATCGAGGAGGCGAATTTATGTCTGGACCTTTTCAGTTCTGGTTACAGACAAAGGGCATAGGTCATAGAAAGATGAACCCCTATAGTCCGGAAGAAAACGGATTATGTGAGCGAAAAAATAGGAATCTTCAAGAGATGATGCACTCAATGCTTGAGGATGCTGGTCTATCAAAAGCTTATTGGGCCGAAGCTTTGCTTTCGGTGTCTTATGTACAGAATCACATTTTTCATAGATCAATTGGAACAACGGCCTATTTCAAATTGTTTAACAAAAAGCCCAAAGTTGATAATTTGCGTACTTTTGGTGTAAAAGCTTGGGTTCATGTGCCTCAAGCACAGAGGAAAAAAGGTGAACCCAAAGCACAACAGCTTGTTTTTGTAGGTTACCAAGATTTGGGCAAAGGTTACAGGTTTGCTGTTGGTAAAAATGGGCTGGTTGTTTCAAGAAATGCTACGTTCTGTGAGCATAGCGGCTGGGAGAAGCTGCATGCCAATTCTGAGGTTTGGTTTCAAATATCAAAGGGGGAATCTTTGAGAGCTAATAGAAAACCAGACACAGACAAAGAAGAGGATTCTTCTGTTGAGACTAATGAGAATGGCAGTCAGTTTTTGCCAAAGGAGGAATTCCACTCTCCTCAAGGGGGGCGAGAATCTGAGGGGGATAGCAGTGAAAGCGAAGACAGTTTTACTCCCAGAAGGTCTCAGAGGGAGAATAAAGGTCTACCCCCAGGTCGTTTTAAGCCTGGCACTGCTAATGTTTTTCATGTAGCTGCTGAACCTCAAAGCTACAAGGAGGTGCTGGCGTTGCCAGAGGACCAAGTTTTGCTCTGGAAAAGCGCTATGCAAGAGGAAATGGATTCTCTAGTTGAGTATGAAGTGTTTACGCCCACACCACCGCCGAAAGGAGCTAAAATAGTGGGGTGCAGGTGGGTTTACAAGCTCAATCCGTTAGCCACTGGGGATGTTAAGTACAAGGCACGTTTAGTGGCTCAGGGTTTTTCCCAAAGACCGGGGCTTGTTTTTGACTAAGTGTTTGCTCCGACAGCTAGAAGCGAGAGTTTGCATCTGCTGCTGGCAATTGCAGCAAAACGCAAGTTAAAAGTAAACCACTTTGACATCCAGACAGCTTATTTACATGCTAGTTTGAGTGAGGAACTCTATTTAGCAGAACCCCCTGGTTTTGAGTCTGGGTCAGGCAACGTGTACAAACTTCACAAGGCACTGTATGGTTTACAACAATCTGCAAGAAATTGGAACAAGTGTTTAGATGACGCTCTATTTTCTCTAGGTTTCCAACGCAGCGTTGCAGACGGTTGTCTGTATGTGTGTGGTGCTAATGATAAACAGGAGTTTTGTCTGGTCTTTGTTGATGACTTGTTATTTTTCTCTAAGACAGACAAAAAGATCAAAGCGTTTTCCACACAGTTAGCCAAAAAGTTTAAAGTGAAAGACCTTGGTGCTGCAAAAAGTTATCTTGCTCTGGAAGTGTGCTGGGCAGAAGATGGCAGTTTGTTGCTTAGCCAGGAAAAGAAAATTAAACAACTGCTAACAACTTACAGAATGCAGGATTGCAAAGGGGCAACTACTCCCATGAATTTAGGTTTTGTTAAGGCTTTGCAAGCTGATGAAAGCTCTGAGTTTGAGCAACCTGATTTGTATCAATCAGCTATTGGGAGTTTGCTGTACATATCACAGTGGAGCAGGTGTGATATCAGCTACACAGTAGGGATTTTGAGCAGGCAAGTGTCTAAGCCCACTGTGAGTGCCTTGAAAGCAGTAAAACGTGTTCTGAGGTATCTGAAGCATACTGCTGGTAGTGTTTTAAAGTTAAGTTCAGCAGGTGATGAAATGCTTACATGTTACTCAGATAGCGACTGGGCAAATGTACCTGATCGTAAATCAGTTACTGGATTGGTGTTTTTGCTTGGTGGGTCACTGATTGGATGGAAGTCCAGAAAACAAAGTATAGTCAGTGTGTCATCCACCGAAGCTGAGTTTGCAGCGGTAAGTGAGCTCTGCAATGAGCTGGTGTATTACAAACAGTTGCTGAGAGATTTGGGCATACAATGCAATTCTCCAATTCAGGTGTATGTTGACAATCAAGCTTGTATAACGCTCAGTAAAACTGAACAGTTTAAATCCAGATCCAAACATGTGGCCATAAAATACCAAAATGTGTTATGTAATGTACAGAGAAATGTCATTGCATGTGAATATGTTCAGAGTGCTGAAAATGTTGCTGACATATTTACAAAACCGTTGTCGTTTGTAAAGAACAAGCAAATGTGTGAAAGCTTGAGTTTGCAGAACAAAGTTAGGTAAAATACTCTGTATGTGCTCAGAAGTTAATTGCACTGTGTGTGTGCTGTGAGGGGGTGTTGGGAAACTGTACGTGCAGCTACTCACACAGAGTCAATTAAGGTTTGGCAGACAGCCAGAAGGCAATCTGAAGGAGTAAGTCTGCCTGGTGATAACAAAGGCATGGAGACAGCTCCCTGACTGGTCAAGCTCTCTCAAAGGAGTGATAATTAATGGCCCACTAACTGGAATGTGTTAGTTCAGAGTTCAGAGGTTCAGAGTTGTTCTGTGTCAGTGTAGGAGTTGTGAGTTGTGTCAGAGAGAGCTAGCAAAAGATCCGTGTTCTGTTCCTGTAAATAGTTCACTGTATATAATAAACACCTAACTACAAGTTCCTGGTTCCTGCTTCGTCTATCCTGTCTGCAGCCAAGTTGCCAATGGCTTCCATGGATTCTGCATTAACTCTGCTAGGTCTGGCTAAGGTCCTGCAACTAGTCAGAAAGTTGCGAAGTTTTGCCAATAGTCTGGTAGATAGTACTAGGGTGTAAGATGATGAAAGCAGAGACTGTAAAGGTAGCTTTCTCTGAAATGCTACTGGCCCCACACGCAGAGCTAGCTGCACAGACACAGCTTTGTAGCCTCAATGCATGGATGAGACTGTGGTTTCAGGAAGAGGGGTTTGGATTTGTTACACACTGGGGAACATTATGGGGCAAGCTGGACCTGTACAAAAGGTATGGACTCCACTTCAGCCAAGATGGAACTAGATGGTTGGCGCTTAAAATAAAAAAGGAGGCAGAGCAGCTTTTAAACTGATTGAGGGAGGGAAAGCCATCAGGCGCTTGATTTATTTATTTATTTTTAAATGATATTTATTGAAGTTTCACATGAAAAAAGACATCTTAATAAAAAAAAAGAAATTTGAAAATAAAAAGAAAAATACACCATACAAAATACAAAAAAAAAAGAAAGAAAAAACAGTTAAAAACAATTCCATCTTTTCATCACAACTTTTACATTTACTTATTTCCCGGACCTCCTCGTACCTCCCTCTTTTTGTATTCCAATTCAATTTGTTTGTCCAGCAATTCCTTTCCCTCCTTTTTAATCCCAATCCTTAATCTTAATATAATATAATATTAAATTTTTACCTATTAAAAACCAATTTTCCATTCTTTTAACCTTTTTAATCCTAATCCTTAATCTTGATCTATATATAACTTTAAAGCCTGTGCAGCTAGAAGCCACTTAATTTCAATCCAACATCATTCTAACATTCTTTAATTTTGCAATATTTCTGTAAGTAATCTTTGAATTTCTTCCAATCTTCTTCCACCGACTCTTCTCCCTGGTCACGGATTCTGCCAGTCATTTCCACCAATTCCATATAGTCCATCAATTTCATCTGCCATTCCTCCAGTGTGGGTAGCTCTTGTGTCTTCCAATACTTTGCGATGAGTATTCTTGCTGCTGTTGTAGCATACATAAAGAAAGTTCTATCCTTTTTTAACACCAATTGGCCGACTATGCCCAGGAGAAAGGCCTCTGGTTTCTTCAAGAAGGTATATTTAAATACCTTTTTAATTCATTATATATCATCTCCCAGAAAGCCTTAATCTTTGGGCACGTCCACCAAAGGTGAAAAAATGTACCTTCAGTTTCTTTACATTTCCAACATTTATTATCGGGCAAATGGTAGATTTTTGCAAGCTTGACTGGGGCTATGTACCACCTGTATATCATTTTCATAATATTCTCTCTTATGGCATTACATGCCGTAAATTTCATACCTGTGGTCCATAACTGTTCCCAGTCAGCGAACATAATGTTGTGTCCAACGTCTTGTGCCCATTTAATCATAGCAGATTTCACCGTTTCATCCTGAGTGTTCCATTTCAGCAGCAAGTTATACATTCTTGACAAAGTCTTAGTTTTGGGTTCTAACAGTTCTATTTCTAATTTTGATTTTTTCACCTGGAAGCCAATTTTCTTGTCCGAATTGTATGCCTCCATTATCTGATAATAATGAAGCCAGTCTCGCACTTTGTTTTTTAGTTTTTCAAAACTCTGCAATTTCAGTCTATCTCCATCTTGTTCCAAAATTTCCCAAT